ATAAATTGATACTAAGCTAAAACTAACATCTCACAAACAATCTTGTTGTTATAGAAATAGAGTTATATGAAAGTGATATAGACAGTCTTACAAAAATACATATTTCCCCATATACACATGATTCAGTTGTAATAATCAATGTACATTTGGCAAATATAAAGACTGACTTGATCGAAAATGCGGACCCGGTCGCTGAGTAATAACTTATTGTAAAACTTATATTAGAAGACTTGGAACATCATGACTTAAAATAAAATGGATTGAGACAATAATAAGTAAGAAAGAATCACATGCTCTACTTTCCAAAATGTCTATGACTTTCTGTAATTCCATTCTGTCCCGACAACATACATTGTTTCACCTTACCGACTTGTGTTTATTTGTGCTAATGTGCTTGGTTTTAAAAGGAGTTAGTGGAGTAGAAAGTGGTACGTTAGTGTAAGGTTATTCAAGATCGATAGCGGGATTCACTACTCAGGGTGGGGCTAGGGGTATTTAGGTTATGTTATGTATTTAGGAGTTGTACCATGTTAGTATTAGAAATTTATTTTATTTTTTATTTTTATTATTTTTTTTATATATGAATATGGATATATGGATAGAAGACTGATTGATCAATATGTAACAATTTCTGCTTATTTTACGGCTATAAGTCCTATTGTGTTTATCAAAATAACTATCTGGGTTTAAGGGGTTTAGATAAAGTGGGCCTACCGCTATTTTGTACCTGATTTTAGGTAGTATGTGTTTAGATAGTGTGTACTTGTCTTTGATGTGATGTATGTTGTGTTGCTTTAGGTTGGTTTTCTATTTCTCGTGCGAGAGTTTTCTGTGGTGTTTATGCTGTCTCATTTGTCTTGTGAATGCTCGGGTCGGGGGCAGATAAGTATGTTTATTGGAATGTTTTGTACAGTTTTCTTATGTATTTTGATGATTGTGTTTAGTCATGTTGCCCTTCGTCCAGCGTTGAATAAATTGCTCTGTATAAAGACATATCGAGAGCTAATTATCCCCATTGCCCTACCAAACCGGGTTCCAGAGGCTACCAGCCAGTGTACAAAGCCTGAATCCGACTGATCACCAGTCGATGACCGTTGTATCCCGAGGTTCCCGTTTATCTGGAACCTATGCTGGACATTGGACCTTGAAATTATGTAGTTGTGTAGCTTGTATGCGTGGTCCATTTGTTTGTAAGAGTTATCTCCCTTGTGATGCTTGTTTTTAAATGTTGTCTCTGTAGTCTGTTTGAGTAAGGTATTTTAGTGTCAGTTTGTGGATTCTGCTGGGCTAGGTTGTAGTATTGTATGCATGTTATTTGGGGATACATTTAGTTTCTCTAATTCCTGTAAAAATGTTTGGCGTGCTGTTGTATGTTTCTTACACCAGAGAAATTTATTGTCTATGACTTCTAAGTTTTTGCAGTGACGACATTTTGGTGAGAAGTCTTTCCGTATTCGGTTGTTTTCGTTTAATTTAGTATGGCCCAATCTGAGCCTTGTTATAATTCTATCTTCTTTTTGTATTTGTCGGAAAGTTTGGTTTTTTGGGTTTTTTTTTTTCTTTTGGTGGGGGGGGGTTGTAGATCTTGTTGCTACTCTCCTGAGTTTGTTATTACTGCTGATATTTATCCAAACGTTTGTCCAAGATAGATCTATAGATTTATTTATCATTGAATAAACTTTATCTTTAGAATGAAGAATGAAGTTTTTATTTTTGTCACACTTTTTTTTTACTGAATTGGACGATAACTCAATTTTACCAATTAGAAGTATCATGAAGTTTCCAGTAGATACATCTTTTACCAAGTTTAAATAAATTTTATCTTAGCTGATGAGCTATCGGCCATTATAACGAAACCTATGTAGATTGTTAAGAGAAAGGAAAAATCACGGGACTGCATACCTGTATATGGTCCTTAACCTGAAGTGAAAATTCATTGAAATTATTGGTTCTCATATTTAACAACAGACAAACAGAGTTGTTCAAGTATACATCTGCAATACGTTAAGGGTATACCAAATGATATGAATAAGGACAAAAATGTATTTAAGACATAGTCCGCTAAAGATAGAATTTGTAACCTCCGTAGGAAAACAGGAACCAATATATCTATATATTTTGCTCGATAATAGAGTAGTAATTGGACAAAAAATTAATACACCAGAGCTTAGTGTATGGTGACGGTGGTAAGTGCACTCGCCATATCAATAGTGTTTCTGCACAAGTATTGAAAAGGGTATGTTTCCTAAGAATGTTATAAAAATGAAATAGGAATGGCTATTGATAGACAATACGTAATATCAAACCAAACAAACAATCCATCAGGTAGTGCAGAATTTAAGATATCGACATTCTATACATGAGTTGTCTCCCTTAACACATAATATCTATTGCTTGAAATTCAAAACATCATGAAAATAACGCATATTTACAATAATAGGAGGCGGAAATATTCACGGTCGCGTGCGGCGTTTCATCCCCTGAGATATGCATAGCATCAATATGAGATAATTTATTTTTATTTTTGTTATTTCCAACATAAGATGAAAAAAGTTTCAAAATGTTCGCTGTTAAGATTGTCTGAAATCTGGTCCGAGTTTGGGAACAAGGTACGTACAATATTTCATTTCACCAGCACTTTTAACCGCACCATCAATCATTACAAATGGAGGATTCTCTTTCGCTAAGTACCTGTTGATTGATTGCAAGGGTTTAAGCGTCACTCCAAATATGATGTACACCACAGAATACCAACAACAACACAACAAAAAAAAAACTACAAATGTATCAACATAATCAGAATCCAAACTCAAATTTGGGGCAACATGTAGACGCCTGAAAAAATACAAGGAAAAAGCATGTGTTCAGGAAGAGTAAGCGTCTTCTGCGTCATCTATGATATCCGCCATGGAAATCGTGGTCAATCTAAGAAAGTGATGTCACAATCTCTAATGAGAACAAGGTATATCAGCAACGGAACTAACAGACAAACTAATGAGCATCAAACAAGTTCAGCTCTATATCGCATTGAAGGAAATAGAAATGGAACATGTCTTAATGCGATCACCATGACTACCGTAAAACTTCCCTAAAATATCCAGTTACCTGCATCTTTTTAAACTTCGTGGTGCGAGTTTGTCCGTTACTTGCACGAAAGTTGTGATAATGAAAGCAGGCCCTTAAATATCGAATTAACTGCGACATGTAAACACAATAGCTTGTTTAAACAATCAGTAAACACCATCGACGGGGATGATATAAAAATGCACTTACTTTCAAACAGCATATCATGTGACATGGAACCAGTATGTTATCAGAAATATGTCAAAAAGAAAAAAAAACTGGAAAGTAGGAACGATTCATTGTCTTTTACGTTACCTTATGTTTCAACATAGTTCACTTGTTCTTGCGAGTCTTCTACCATGTTGAGCCAGATCATTCGTTAATACAAGTTGCCGTACATTTTGAGAGTGTCTCGAATTGTGTTGTCTTTCGATGGTAAACACAGCCATAAACTATCTAAGTTCTACTAAGAATCTGATAAAATTTTACTTAATTCTTTTTGCTTTCTTGTATCTAGATTACGCGAATTTTGCTTTAGATTTTATGTGTTTCTCTAACTTTTTCAGGCACTGAAATGATTTCCACAAGTAAGTATCGAGGTAAAATTAACGAAGTAGAGAAGTCAAATTGATAAACAACAATATGGTTGTAGACGCTTAGACCTGATTTTTACATGTCTTCAGCACAGATATTGTTAGTGCACATGTACTTATTCGCAGTAAAACCAGCGTTTAAAAGTAATGACATGAACGATATATATTAATACAATTTAAGACTCTCTTGGCCATTTTCACAAATATTAACGAATCTGAGGATGAATAAAACAAGCCAATAGAAATTATGAAGAGCATTACAAATTCCATGGAAACTCTACTTCTAGTTTATACATAGGAAAATCTGTAAATAAAGTATATTACGAATCCTATAACTAACTGATTCTAGATATTTCTCGGCTACATCCGGGATATTTAACGTTAACTTAACAAGCCTTTGTGGGGAAGACATATTGTCATGTCTTTGTGGCGGTTTTTTTGTTAACCCCACATTGGCTTTTTATTATAACTACTTAAAAATAACCTTTTGTTCATTTTACGGTTTTTGTAACTGTAAGATATGTTTTTAATTTCATAAATAAATACAAAGTCACCCTCTCTGTAAGGGTGGCCATTTTCATTCATATTCATTGTTGTGTCGTTTCTTGTCGTAGTGTGCAGATACATAAAGTGTATCATGAATCCTATAAATAACTGATTCTAGATAATGCTCGGCTACATACGGAATATTTAACGTTTACTTAACAAATGAGCATTAACATATTCTGCCGATGTTCCTATCAACAAAGGTGAATGCATTTATTTAAAGTCATCAAATTATTTTAATCGTGTCTATTCTCTGCCTGCTAATGCACCTTCTTTACTGATTAGGGATAACTTAGACGGTATAGGATAAAGTTCACATACGACCGTTGACTGACCAGAATAGTACATCGCAGTTCGGTATCTATCAACTGATATACTGAGGCAGGATTACACGTTCTTTCACAATTTGCTACTTTAAACCAAATTGGAGGTACATACATTTTTTTCTAACATGTACAACAGAGCCTCTTGTGAATAGACACTGTCAGGTAGCATGCTCCTCTTTGATTAAGTATGATTGAAATATTAATACATACATATCTGTTTTACACGTAGGACACAATGCTATGTCATATGACATAATATTGTGCAGTTCTATGAGGGTTAGAGACAATGACGATTCAAATGTTTTCTTCATTGTTTCATTCTTGACGCCGTTGCATATTTTCGTATTCATAAATTTGATATTGCCGTTTCTATTCACATTACAAATTGCCGTACGCAAGGTTAAGTAACATGTATTGACGAGAAGTATGTTCTATTTGATTTTGTTTTGTAGAGGATTCGACACCGGAAGAAATGGCAGACGGTACCGCGAAACTAGTCCTGGTTGATTACATTACGTTTGGATCCGCTATCATCATTTCGATAACTATCGGAATATACTTTGCATTTGCTGGAGGCAGACAGAAAACTACAAATGAATATCTTATGGGAAATCGTCACATGAAAGTACTTCCGGTCGCACTTTCGCTCATGGTTACATTTGAATCATCTATAACGATGCTTGGTTTTCCTGCAGAAGTGTTCGTGCACGGTATAATGTATTGGTGGGCTTTAACAGCGTTTCTGTTTGCTAATTTGATTGGAATTTTGATCTGGGTCCCACTTATACATCCACTCCGAGTCACAAGTGTTTACCAGGTAAGTCACAATGTGTTATCATTAACCGTGATATTTTTGCTTTTAATACTGTGAACATATTTTGAGAGTAAGAAAATCAAGCTCACCCATGTGTTTATAAAAGAAGTTGATTTGAAACGTACATGCGCTCAAACGATGTTTGCCAATCCAAACAAGGTATCAAATAACCTAACCTACAGGCAAACTAATTAGGATCAAAAACTATTATATTTTCCTATGAGAAGACCGTAAACCGTTCTAATTTTCACTGATTTGCATCTTTTGAAACCCTGTGTTACAAATTCGAATTTGTACGTCAGCTGATGACTGCTTGTACGAAAACCGTGATAATTGCAATAGGCCCTTGAATATCGAATCACCTGTAAACACCATGAATATGGAAAATTCATAATTAGGAAATTGGATATACACACCTGCTTTACTTTAAAACCCCGAGAACAACTTGTCACTTTCCTTTGAATACATATACAATCATGACTAAACAGACGAAGGAAAAATATAAGCCATCCAGGAAAAATAGGTCATATTTGTTCATATAAGATAGCCGAAGATCACCCCACTACAAATAATTGGACTTGGCATACAAAAAATAGAGGTACCATTTTCCAGAGTCAAAATTTACACTTTTTCCAAAAGAAGATATTTGATTTCGATGACGAAACATGATATAGGTAGAATTCCCACGAAAGCAGTGGACTTTTTACTAAAAAATACCCTTTTTGTTATCCAACCACAGTACTTTGATTTTCATGAAAGACTATATAGATATCTTTGACAGTTCAGTAAGATAATCAAAACAACATAATGTATGTCTATGTTAGACTTCTTGAAATTAAACGGATGGGTAGTTAAGCTGACGTGTCCACAATTCGATGAAAGCGTGAAATATGTAAATCTACAAGACAAAAAATGCAAAAAAAAAAAAAACCACACACACAAAAAGAAAAGAAAAAGCTAAATACCCTAGAACAGCATTAAGTTTACAATTATTAATTAAACTGCATTTATCTCTTTATCTCAGCAGCAACGTTTTGTTCCTCTGAATTACAGTATATAGAGCTGAGATACAAATCACGTGGGATGCGCCTGTTGGGAACCTGTGTGTCTGGTATAGGAACTGTATGTATACACTTAGACCGATTGGTTTTTGTTTTAAAAAATTTAATGTATACTTGGTATTTAAGCTTAATGAAAGCAAATGTTTCGGTTTGATAATTTCTTGAAATAACTTCATATTCATCACATCTTTATCCGTCAGCATTTTTATTTTAGATATTTTACCTGGGGATAGTACTTTATGGTCCAGCTATTGCCTTAGATGCCGGTAAGATATAATTCATAAACTAAGAATACCGATTTAAATCCCTCATAAATATGCATTGAATGTTTTCACTTTTATGTTCTTCGATGTCTTATTTGCTGACGCATTTAGTTTATTTTCAAAAACATGAAGGAGAGTATTTCTGATTTACTTACAGTCACGGAATTTCCAGTTTGGGCATCAATAATATTGGTTGCGGCGGTGTCCGTCGTATACACTTCAATAGTAAGGAACATACTCTTTGTCTTTTAATGAATGCTATTTTGATAGTTTGCACTAACAATACAAGAAAATTATTATTTTGAAATATATGAGCAAATATAACTGGAAAAGGACATCATTGATATAAAAAAAATATCAAATTGAGATGTATATGTAAGTTAATTCTGATATAATATTTCAATATCGATGTCGTGATACATCATAGATAGACATGTTTAAGGCAATAGAATTATATGTATATAAGCCTATTTGCCTTCAGAAGAAATGCCTGCCTCGACAGATATAATAAGATAAAGATAAACCTTTCAGGGTGGCCTTAAGGCTGTGATATGGACGGATGTGTTTCAATGTCTTGTTATGCTGACTGGCATGTTTTCTGTTATCATAAAGGTAAAATGCAGACAATGATTTAACATTTTCAAGCATTAGAAAGAAATGAAGAGCAGACAAAACGGCATGAATTGTGCATTCACTGATATTTCTGTTGACTTTTATTTTTGCATGCTTTATCTTTTTGTCAGATATAATTTGTAATGATAAATTTACAATTGCCATATAAAATATTGTACTAAAAGTTTAAAAAAAATATTTCCCTGAAGTTTGACAAAATCGAGAAAAAGAAATGAGTATCAATTACCATGTGTATTTTTTAACTTGTGGTGTATGACTAGGGTACTATTACTTCTGGAGGGACAGCTAAGATGTTTGAAATCGTCCGCAACAATGGAAGGCTGAATTTCTTCAAGTAAGTGACATGGGATCAAAACGATTTCCACTAAATAACTTAATACCTGTATTGACAGTATCCATTTGATTAAATACATTCTACCAATTGGCAATTAAAACAGAGATTAGAAATGACATATACATAAATGTTATTGTCTTGATAAATTCGCCAGTTATGTTATCAGGTTTCATGTTAATGTTAACAAAATTCAAAGTAGATGAATATATAATAATAGATTAAATGTTTAAATTGGAAATTGTACATTATAATCTGTTACCATGAGCTCTAGGACTTATCAAATTGTCCATAGTCCGTCATTATAAATGCTCGAATTCACTTGAAAAAAAAAAGTAATCTTTTACATTTTTTTCTATTTTCTATCGTTGTGCTTGATCAGTTTTAAGTGCACCGTGAAATTGGCCGATTGTTCACTATCATATATTTAAACATTTCAGTTATCTCTCACTTCAGTCGTTTTCGGTAAGAACATTGAATTGATCGCCATTATATATCACTTATAGGTACCCATTTGGCATTTTAATGTCAAATTTTTAAAACAACTGAAACTAAGAAAGCCGAAGAATAAAAAAATATTTAAGATAACTGGAAGAATAAATATCTTCAGTATTATGTAAAGAAACATTTCATGTTACCATTGAACGTCATACAAAACTAAAAACGTTATGACTTTCAGCACTAAACCATGTACTAAATGCATTTGTAGTACCACATTGTGTTGTTTTTTTTTATTGTTTCTTTAGTTTCGACCCCGATCCGTTCGTGCGTCACACATTCTGGTGTCTAGTAATTGGAGCAAGTACACGGACTGTTAGCTTGATTTTCAATCAATCATCTGTACAGAGGATAAGTTCTATGCCGACACAGCGTGCTGCCAACAAGTAACATATATTGTAACACTAAACGTAACACAAAACACGTCATTTGTAATACACTTTTGCCACTGGAACTAAATTGGCTTCTCCCTTAGGAATCTAGAATTTTTATGTTTTAACTATGGCAGAATTTATTTGCCATTAACAAGTAAAATAAGTAATACTTAGCCTACTGAAAGATTATAGTTGACTTATTGAATTTTTTTTCCCTTTTTAACAGGGTCCTCCTATTTGCTGGTCCCGCCTTTTTGTTTACAATGTCATTGGCGGCATTCGAGGGAATCATTGCCTACGCATATTACTATACCAAAGGATGTGATCCATTAAAATCCGGACAAATCAGCAATCCCAATCAGGTATTCACAATCGTGAATTCTGCAAGATGATGTCTATCTATGTGTAATTATACTGACATAATTTGTTTATTACGTTTTACCTAATGCATGTAATTTTAATTTTACATTAAGATCATTCCATTTATGGTGCTGGACATATTCAGGAATCTTCCAGGCATGTCTGGTCTCTTTCTTGCCTCGCTTTTCAGCGCGTCATTAAGGTAAGGCGTTTTTGTCGAGTCTCCAATGTCTTTTTGTTTAGCTGTCTGTCAACACATATCGGCCAGCAAGCTCTAGTACTGTTATAACTGATTACACAACGAGCTATAATTGCATGTTCGTCGTCTCTAAATTTGCGTTTAAAAGGTTAATTTTTTTCTGAGGAAGACTATGTAAGATTAAATCTTCTGCCAGTGACTCACACTTCATAACGAGATCAGGTATGTAAAATACAGATTTATTTCCAATTGACCAGATCTATGAATGCTGTATTGTTCCGAGGTAATATTGAAATGTTTTGAGTGTCAGACAGGAAAAGCTAGATATTTGTATTAATACTGATTTGATTCTCTACCTAGTCCCTTAACAACTCCACACACTTGTTCATTCTGATTTAACATTCATCTTCCAAATTCTCTCCACCACACTGGAATTCCTCCACATAGCGTTTGATAAATGCTGTATATGTTCTTACAACGATTTTGCAGATTTATCCTCCAGTACTGGAAACATTATCACCGATCCATACTCAATTTAGTTATTTTTCCAATTCACCTTGGGTATTAAGTGTTGTGTAAAAACAATTACAGGCATTGATATGATCCTACATGAAATCAGTAACTAAGTGCAAGTGGTGTGCATTTTACCATCCTAAAGGAAAACATTTTTCAAATTTAAAACCTTTAGATATTCAGAGTTTGAATTCTATCTACAATTAAAGTTTTGATTTCATTTTTGTCACCATGTGGTAAACCTGTGTTATAAATAGTAAACGCAAAGGAAGATTTATCGACTTTGAGTTCTTGATGTGTTTTGTGTGGAAAAATTAGACAATTATGGAAATATTAAGAAATACTATTACAAAAAAAAAAAAAAAAAAAACTCAGTTTGTGGCTACAAGAACAATATAAAAAAATCCTGTACATATGTTATTCACCAAACAAGAGTGATATTATTGTATCTTGTAGAGTTCCTTTTCAAATACATATATGCATTAATGCACTTGCGTACTTATACTCATATAATCCAAGTTTCGTCATGTTTGCAATTCTTGATGACAATTTAGCAATATTAACATACATTGCCTCGACAGTTTGCACTCTCACGCTATCACATTGAAGTTTAGCATTCTATCCACGCTGACTGGTACGGGTTCGGATACCTTAACACTATTTTTCATATATCATCCTTTCTTCTGTTTTTCATACGTGACTCGACAACACCAAACTACCTTGCGCATATTTTAAGTTACCTGCTCAATTTTAAAGAAACTAAATTACTATAGAAAGACGGTAACTCAAACATGAAAATTGTACAAAAGACACACAAGTTAATAACACCTTTTATTACTGATTAAGAGTTAGAGACAAACGACTAATTAAACTGTATCATACAGCTCCTTTGCCCTTCTAGGATTCATCAATGGTACTTAGGGATTAAATTGAAAGAAAGTCAAAATCTGGATGGGGAGGTGCACGTCATTCATTTTTAAAAGGTTGTTTTCATATAACTGATAATTTTAGAGCAACGACAAGTACATGTGCTAGAATATAATTGCATTTGGATTAGGCATCGCTGATTGATATAAAAGAGGTATATAAATTTCACATTTTATGATGTCATTAAGTATAGATCTTGTTCAAGGCCAGTTTGTATTCAATCATTTGGACTGGTTTAACCTATGAGCAACAATACACGGATCGTGGTGTACAGTTTTTAAAGGTTTATTCACTAAATCTCTTTTGGCAACACGCATCCTAGACGACCTTCAATGATTCAAATGTTTTTATATCATAAATAAAACGTAGTAATTATTTCAGCTAAGTGGAGTAATTAGATCCGTTACAATTACTGATGAACGCATGAAAATGAGGTCCGGTCATTGCTAGGTTGAGGTGTTTAACTTCTTTGCAACAGCTGATATCACTTGAAGACTATGTTCATGAAAAATAGGATCAACGATAGTGCAGTCACTCGGAAATGGTCCAAACTGGACATGAAAGCATCCAATTAGTTTGTCATATAACATTGAGGATCCCATCAGACAATACTTGATTAATCCATTTTGTGCTGTGCATGATCATATACTACAGCTTGTGTTAAAGAAAAAAATATTTTGAAAATGAAATTTGATGTAGAAAATAGAAGCATGTGTCATCACCATTTAGCGGTATGTCGCCTGATGTGCTTTCATTACTTACATTTTCAGTACATTGTCTTCCGGCTTAGCAGGCTTGTCAGCACAGTTTACGGAAGACTTTGTCAAGCCAGCATTCAAAGGATTGACGGATTTCCAAATAACGATCATAGCTAAATTGTCAGGTAAGACTTTGCTTACTTGTTTATTTTTGCTGCTATGATATATATACTGAGAAAATGTTTCAAGTGATTCAATATCACATCAAGTATTATTGATGAGTCCTATGAGAACAAAAATGGCAATATGATGCAGTTGTATTGATGTTACCAACATTTTGTTATGGGAAGGTGCATTTGTGTATGTTTACTTTGTCTTATGGTTGAGTTTATATTGCTTTACGTCCTTTCAGCAAATGTTATCAATTAGGTAAGGACCACGTGGGCATGCGGTCCGAGTGTTTGATTTTCATTTTTGTTGAATTATTTTAGGATTTTTATGTTAACATCCTCGAAAACATGCGCACACAGCATGTTCTTTCCCTCCGGGCGTCCTTAAAAAACCTTTGAAATTGATCGGACATTAAGAATTATAAGTTAAGCCATAATACTAAGCGGTTATTAGTAACAAAAAGTCAGCCTTTGCTCACATCCATAATAAGCCAGAACGGACCTTTTTTCCTTCTTGCAGTGAGCGTGTTCGGGATGGCAGCTGTTGCGGTATCCTTTATGATAATTAACATTGAGGGACCGATCACTCAGGTCAGTTGAAAGTTGGAACACATATTGTAGAGATATTTGGAATAGACGTTTTCCTCGATATTGAACTTTAGTGATTTTATATATGGAGACAATTTATTTTGTTTCTATATCACGACGAGAATATATAGTCGTTTATTTAATCCAACGTAAGAATAGCCATAGGTTGATATGAATAGTATAATGTATCATAAGTTTTCGGCATACTCTGAAAGTTGTCAAGAATTCTTGCAAATTCTACGCCAAACCAAGAAAGTTCGAAAATGAAACCGCTTCAGTGCATATACCGGCTGCTAAAATAGTGATTTCTAGTGGCGAATTACAGTATTAGGCAAACAGGTTGACTGATTGTGTTTTCTTCCACTTTTGAATCGCCTCCTAGGTTTAACATTAATGCTATTCGCATTTCTGGTGAATCCTAGAAGAACGGAAGAGATGCATGGTGCATTTGAACTGTTGTCTTGCTGTATCTTATCAAAATTTTTCTTAAATATTGATATTAATTTATATGTCTTTTACAATCTTATATAAAGGTAACCTTTAGCGTCCTGGCATCATTTGGAGCTCCGATGACGGGTTTGATGATATATTCAGCATACTTTCCATCTGCTACAAAAAAGGTAAACTTCTAATGACAATTACACTGCAAGCTAATCTAAATAGATACAGGCTAATATTCGTCATTCGTATTGGACTATTTCATATCGCAATAGTGTTAAAAAGTATTTCTTATTTATTTCTATCGCTTACATCGCTCTGCGTTTGCTCTTTCTTTCTTTCTGCGAGGTTTTTTTTTATATACCACAGCCGTTAAACACATACTTTTTGATCGTTTAGTACGGAATGTGATCTACAAGTATGGATCATCTCTACAGTTGTCAATATAACATGACCAGATAGGATATCTTGCTACTTGCTACAGGTTAAATCAGTTCAGTGTTTCCTTATAGAAATAAAGACATCCGTTTCTATAAGCAAAGGCTCCCTGCGGATGTAGATATCGAAGCAAACAAGCATCGTGAAAAAGTTCTGTAAAACACAGAAGTATAGGACGGTTTATTTCTTTTTGAAACTGTTAGTGTGTTAGATTTTAAAATCGTGAACAAACACGGCAATGTTGTTATATTGGATAGCAAGGAATTCATTTATTGCAGTTTCTGATATGTAGCTTCGCTCGTCTTTTTGTATGTGGTGGTTGTTTAACATGCTTTTAACAAATTACTTAAAATTGGCTCTGTTCATTATATTGGCTAAATTAAGAGATAATTATGTTCCCTTCAGCATCTTCTTCCGTTTTAAGCTAGATGCATTATAGTTTTTCAAGAATCTCAGCAGAATTCCCAAAAACCCTTGATCTTTGAATATTTTATTTCTATTTTGATATATATGTCTTAATGTTGTGGAACACATATAATTACTATAATGTGTTATCTGCTATGATATGCGAAATGAAAGCGGCATTAATTAATTTGAAGGATAACCTTGGCATTTTCAATATGTTTGTAAAATCGAAACATTGTTCTATGGTTTACAGGGTGCTGTAGCCGGGGTCATCAGCAGTATGACGTTTATATTCTGGATATCAATGGGACAAAGTTTTTCGAAGACTTTGAAGAAGACACCGTATTTACCTGGGGGTCCCACAGATCAATGTCCAGCTTTTGATATGAACAGCACGTTGTTTCTAGAAAGCACTTACCCTCTGTCCAGTACTCAAGTTTACATGTCAACCGAATCAACCACTACCTTGTCACCAGTATTTTCAGGTTTCAGTGAAAAGTATATAACTGTTTATAATTATAATTTTTCTGGTTTTAATATTTAGTGGTCTTTATATATATTTTAATTTTGTAATAAACTTGAATACATTATTGATTTCAATAGAATAAGAAACAACACTTGTCATTTGTCTGATGAAAGTGACAATGTTGTCATCGAAACGTCACTTACATCTTCTACTGGCTGTGTTATAAAAAAAAATATATTCTATTGACATTACCAAACCTAAGGAAATGTACCGAAAAATCCATTATTGTAAATCAATATGATTATCATGTTAAGATATTTCACGACACATTCATTATCATAATTATCTTTTTCACGTGCGACCACATCAAATACACAAATATTTATCAATGAATTACTGTAATCAAATACGAATTCTCTATTCATCTATTGTAGCTGACTCGCGATATAACTTGTAATTTTGTAAATATTGACAATGTGAAAAAGAAATTAGTTCTTATGTGAAAACCAATATGAATGTTAAAGATAAAATCATCTTTTCAATATTTAATATACAACTTGATATGTATAAAGTGATTTTATTTCAGCGAAGGACTTGATAGGTTGTATTCCATTTCCTACCAATGGCTGGGAACTTTGGGTATCAGCATATTTCTGATTGTTGCTTCTATCGTTAGTTACTTCACAGGTAAGTTTATGAAAATAAGCCTAGAAGCGTTTCTATCATTTCTTGTGGAAGGTACTAGGCATTTAGCATTGTCGTCTGTGCCATTGTTTCACCTTCATCATCAGTAAAAGCTCTTAGAAGTTACTCTTCTCGAAAAATGTGTATAGATATTTCATAAAATTTCATTGTAAAATATTTATTTGTTTGAAAGTATACTTATGTTACAGGTCGACCGGAACCCGCTGAAGTAGATGTTCGGTACATACTTCCAATAATAGATCACGTTTTTCCGTTCCTCCCAAAGGGTTTTAGGAAATGGTGTTACGGTGGTGCACCATTTGAAAAGGTAACACTTTATCATGAAAAATTCAGGAAACTCCTGTCTATATAGAAATTAACAGAAAAGTAATTTTCGTTGCACTCATTATTTGTTGATTGATATATTTCTACATAATACAACCGGTTCCTTCTTTCAGAGACAAATGCTTCTTGACCAAATGGACCATGGGATTATGGATCAGGAAATTAAATTTATAGGTAAAGGAGACACAGAAAAGGATTTAGAGGAGAAAAATAAAAACGAAAATTCTGTCTGATTTCCTCTTCAAATCAACCTTTTTCTTATAAATCCTATTAAACCAACCACTCAAATTTTAAACAGGTGTTTGGTGCATATATTATTCAGAGTACCGTACTCTACTTAAATAATAACCTGACAGATGATAACAAATCTATGTTATGATTAAATGCAACTTTCTGATCGCAGATTGTGCAAAAATCTATATGTTATTTATTTTATTTTTGATAACTGCCTTGATAAAGCTCCTAATTGAAACTTCAAAGGGGCCTTACGTATGGAGCTTTAGGTCGAGTTCTTACTACAATAGGAAGGATATGGGTTGTGGATTTGTTTATCTTCCAGTCATCATTAGAGTCATTTAAGTATGCCTGCCAGGTGCGTTTTTGATAGGATGAGATATGTTTATCTAAGCATTCTTGTAAAAGTGCAGAAGAGAAGACAACATTATATAGCTGCAAGAATCACACTGAAGTAAACGGCATAGGTCCTCCAGAAGGACATCCTACATGGTCACTTTATACTGACAATAAATTCTCTAAACATGACAGTGTAATAAAGATATTTACAGCCTAGGTCCTCCAGCAGGACATCCTACATGGTCACTTTATACTGACAATAGATTCTGTTAAAATGACAGTGTAATAAAGATATTTACAGCCGAGGTCCTCCAGAAGGACATCCTACATGGTCACTTTATACTGACAATAGATTCTGTTTAAATGACAGTGTGATAAAGATATTTACAGCCTAGGTCCTCCAGAAGGACATCCTACATGGTCACTTTATACTGACAATAGATTCTGTTTAAATGACAGTGTGATAAAGATATTTACAGCCTTGGTCCTCCAGCAGGACATCCTACATGGTCACTTTGTACTGACAATAGATTCTGTTAAAATGACAGTGTAATAAATGTATTTGTATTGTACCTGATGCGCAACACCAAACGCTCAGGAAATCATTAGCGTTGTTGTAAGACGCGTCTTAATGTGTCCCTTCCTACCCTTGTAGAAAAGATGTAGGATTGTCTGTGTCGTCTACCTAACTGGCATTAAAGATACCAAACCAGATCCACTGCACAACGGAAACATGCAAGCCCGGTAAAATATTCTCAATACAGAAATTCCTTATTTACATATACAAGTTATTAGTGCTACGTCATTTATTTTGTACTACATCGTGGTAAATATGCAAGTATCGAATCTATAACTGGCAAATTGCCATTTCGTTAGAACTTTTATAAAAATATTTTGAACGCCCCAATCCGAAGTAAAACAAACTATATAATTTCTACAAAATCTATACAGTCCTAGTTGTATTGATTTAAAAATGGTACTAATTAAACCTGAGCAATGCACTGTTAGAAATTATGGCGTCATAGTTGACTAAAATTTTACCATGTAAAGCTACAAGCGATTTCCCTATGCATTTCAGTATACGGTGTATATTTGTTGTGTATACATAATGTATGTGTACACCTTAGGGTCGTGATTGGTCGTTTTCAATTCCAATTCATGCTTCTAGTTTCGTTTTCAAAATAATTATGTGATCAATGCGTTATATTTAGGCGACCCATGTCGAATAATATTTGATCTTCATTAGGAACGGTTCATACATAACATAGCAAAAGTTCAGCCACTTGACAAGAAAACACCTGTATGTCTTGACCGTGATCTTGATGTGTTGATTCGCTTGTCATAAATATTCAGTTATTATTCAACTTGCACAAGAGAAGTGGCGGATAAGTAAATAAATAACATTCCGCTCTGTATCCTGTTATACTCCATATATAGAAAAAGGTAAGTAAAGCAGTGCGTATCTGCTGCCATGTTCTAGATAGTAACATTCCTGCTTCACCATATATAACGATGACATATCTCAGTTAATATGATTTTAGGGGCTCACTCCAAATATTTCTGTTCACTGTGACAATGTCAACAGCAGGCGAAAACGTCTTAAATGAAAAGAAGTAGTTTTATGAACAATTTGGCAAAGTGATCGCCATAATTATCTCTCTGTGAAATGTTCTGATGCGATGGAAAGATAGAAATGCCAGGTGATCTCTTTAGATTTGTAAATAGTTTTTTATTTTCAATTTAGATGTAATTATGTTACGGTGATAAATTACCTTCGATTCACATGTAGACGATAACACAGAAATGTATTTGTTTTATCAATTTCTCACACTTTGATGTTTGATACAGTTTCTCAGCTGATATGTTATTCACTCCTAGTTTATTGTAATAATTGCGCATACCATCGTTAATTAAACTTAAACTTTTGTGTTCAATGGAGGGTAAGGGTAGGTAAGTTGTCGGTAATGTCCCACCAAATGTTTATCTGATGACTATTTCTGTAAATGTTTCAAATAAGTCAAACCCAAACTTGTTTTCATTCCTAAATCACAAATTTCTTCTGAATCATTGCAGGATTTAAACATTATTCAATTATTTACAAATGAACAGAAAGAAAACTTATTGAGTAGATCCAACCACCATAAAATGGGTTGTTCCATCATTTAACTAATACTGCTCTACTCAGCTGTGATCGGGATGTTCATATGTATAAACGGGAACAAATCTAAATGGTTATAAGGTTTGATAAATCTCTATGTGCCGGAATATGGGAATAAATAACAAAGAAGAAATAAATAAGGAGTAAAATTATTTTTGTTACTAACTGCTGATATTAGTTTATTTTATGATTTATAATTCTTAAAATGGATAGCTTATTTGATGTCAAATTTAAGGTGTTTTTTCTGATAGCACAAATATATTAATTATTAAATGAGACGAAAATGAGTTTTATTTGTATGACGTACAATGATTGAATTCACTATGAGTGTCTAAGTTATGTGATGTTAATGCTGACTTCTACAATAGCTTAATATATCATTTCACGTTGATATATAATTTCCATTTATGCATATAATTTAATTGTTAAAACATAAAGCTCTTGTAGCACCTCCAGATCTTGTCACTTCATGTACCATCAAATTTGAACAACAGTAACATCCAGGATTCCTAAAGAAAAAACTCCTTTATCCTTGTCCGAATCACCTGACTTCCACATTTCCTCACCGATGAATGAAATGCAACGTATTCCACGTGTTCGATCAAAATTAAACGAGTCTACACCTACCCAGCATGAATGTATATAATATGAGTTAATTACATCAAAATTGCTGATATTTCTCAATTGGAATTCGCATAAGATATTTCACAGAAGCAATGAGATACGCAAGGGCCACTCCCACTGTCATGGCGGATCCAAATCCACACAACACCATTGAATATGGTGTTAGCTGGTGCTCTGGGCTCACCTCTAGGACGTGGATTCGATTCTTTGCACTAATAGCAGCGGCCTCTTGGCCGATGTGAGTCCATATTAGGGCGGCTGAAACAACAAGAAATGCTGAAGAATAAGTATGAAAAAAATTTCGGCGTTTTTTGCAATACAATTAATTATTATTTGTCAACTCCAATTCCCACATGATAACTTTTCAGCTTTGTATATTGACCGAAACAGTAATATTATTTTCCACTAGTTTGGTAACATATGTTTCATCACAACGGTGGGTGAATTCATGACCATCTCTACTTTTTCCTTATTTGCAAAATCAGACATATCCATATATTGCAATTTTTTATTTTAAAAATCGACATTGTCTTTCACAGAGGACCCATTAATTTTTGAGAAAGATATAGAAAGCTATTACAATTTGTAGACTAAAGTTACCTCCCTTCTGCCCGTCAGTCTCGGTAGATGTTTTTACAGATGTGTTGGTGTTACCACATTAAACCACTGCCATTCTTCGGTTTACATTACCATGAAGACATTACCTCTTTTTATGAATGTGCATTTACCTGATTTCTTAGTAGATTATTCGGTGAATTACTACATGCACAGAATTCTTTATTCAAAATTAATAACCACATTCCTCAGACGACTGTCATCCTAAGTTGAACAATTCATAGCTAAGACATGGTATGTTATAACCCAAACAATACTTCTACATGTTAACGCTTAAAATTGATACGCACACTTTCATGCCTTATCAGTTAGGTGAAAAGTATTTATATATGTAAAGTCGATGGGCTAATATTGCCATTAATCGTCTCGAGAGTTCAGAATCATGTACAGATACGTGAATAGAATATCCACATGTTCATCCGATTGTACTTTCTTAACATTATATTACAGCTGTGCTGACATGTCCCCATTTTTATTTACTTTGTGTTTAAGGAACACTTTAGTGTTACCAAATTCGAACCATCGACAGTAAATATGATATAAAAGAAATCAAACGGCTTGTATAGAAATCTTTGTTATTACTTACAAACTGCATAAAATGAACCATAACAGAAATATTGCAAAAACGCAAATGTTCAGTATAAATGATGACACACATTTATCATGTACTGATGTCGACGTATATATATATTATAACGTTCTCAAATAGACCAAAACAGAAATAGATCATCTTAAGACAAGACTGGTAGTCGTTTGGCAATGATGCTTAGATTAAATAATTCAATACATCCCTATGACTAAATAGAGGGGTCTTACAGAAAGGAAATAAAAGTATGCCCATGACACAACAGTGTTAGCTTCCAAAAGGGAATCGAAACATGCCCATGGCGAAATAGAGGAGATTTACAACAATAAAACCAAATCATGTCCATGCCGAAACAGAGCAGGATTACAATATTATAATCCAATATGTCTATGAATGAATTAATAAGGCTCACAGCAATGCGATCAAAACATGCCGAGGATGAATCAGAGGAGGTTTACAGTAAGGAAATAAAAACATCCTCAAGATAAAATAGGTGCTTACAGCAAGGAAATCAAAACATGCCGAGGTTGAATCAGAGAGGTTTACAGCAAGGGAATAAAATATGCTCATAATGAAATAGAAGAGGTTTACAGCAAGGAAATCAAAGCATCCTCATGACGAAATAGGTGCTTACAGCAAGGCAATTAAAACATGTCCATGACGAAACAGAATGTGCTTACAGCAATTAATATCAAACCATGCACTTTATGAAATATATGACGCTTACAGCAAGGAAATCAAAACATCCTCATGACGAAATAGAGTAGGCTTACGTCAATATAATAATATCCTCATGACGAAATAGAGAAGGCTTACGTCAATATAATAATATCCTCATGACGAAATAGAGAGGGCTTAGATCAATGAAATAAAACATACTCATGAAGAAATAGGTGCTTAGAGCAAGGCAATCAAAACATGCCCATGACGAAAAAGAGGAGGTTTACAGCAATAAGATAAACACATGCCCATGACGAAAAAGAGGAGGTTTACAGCAATAAGATAAACACATGCCCATGACGAAATATAGGAGGTTTACAGCAATAAGATAAACACATGCCCATGACGAAATAGAGGAGGTTTACAGCAATAAGATAAACACATGTCCATGACGAAATAGAGGAGGTTTACAGCAATAAGATAAACACATGTCCATGACGAAATAGAGGAGGTTTACAGCAATAAGATAAACACATGTCCATGACGAAAAAGAGGAGGCTTACGTCAATGATATTAAAACATCCTCATGACGAAATAGAGGGAGCTTACATCAGTGGAATAAAAACATTCTCATGAAGAAGTAGGGGAGGCTTACAACAAGGGAATAAAAACATGCACTTGACGAAATAGAGGGTGCTTACCTCAATGAAATGGAGGTTGGGTCTAGCAATGCAAGATCAGGAATAAAGTAGGGAATAATATCAAACTAACCTTAATTACTTATTCCTCTCATATACTTATTTAATACTTTATTACAGATCTTTCTCATAAAGACATACATGTATCGTGATGTTAACGAACAACATCATGTGATACATTTGGCAGCTTCTCAATCTGAATTATTGATATGTCCGTACAAAATAACATGTACATCATCTGAATGTGCTCATCTTCAATACAGATGTTGTTCTGAAGTTTATTTATATAAGTAATCTTTTTATATATGAACAGATCACAATTGTCGCCAGTTTGTCTTCCATTTATGTATGAAAAATAATGCTATGGAATTCCCACATTACAAATGTCAGTTGAAATGTACCATATGTCTAAGGTAAAACTTGATATAGTTAATATACAGGTAATTCAATGACCGTTGTTGACCACTGACCACTGTGTCACGTCGGCGTTTCTGTGTATTTATCATTGACCGAATAATCAGACTTAAGTGACTATTAAAAGGTGTCCAAATGTCAAACTGTGACATTTATTTGACATTTTATTTCCAAAAAGGAACAGGATCTTATTAATTATGATATTTTGTAAACATTTTTTTCGTTGATAATGCGATATACGTGTATGGAATTAATGCCAACAGTAAACCTAGTATAAAGTTATACATTATATTAAGGTCACGTTTAATTTCACAAACGCAAGATTTATCTTATTACATTATATAAACAGGAAATAAAGCATACTAGCAGAATCTGACATAAAACTTTTAACTTGCTTTTTTACTTATATTGGATGGGGACACATTGCAGTGATTTGTTCCGTTGCCGTAAAGCACGAACGATTTTTGTCACGATTTTGCAGTAAAAAAGTGACAACATGAGCTATGAAAACCTTTTCAACAATGTATTACTGGATGTTATTGTGAAATACTTCAGACATTGAAACAATTAAAACCTTTAAAGTTTAAAGCGTAACAACAATCGTGAAGGATACCTCCGTCGCTTTAATTCCCTTAATATAACCTTACTTCATTTGTCTTTGAGTTACCATAGGCATCTACGAAACAAGCTGAAAATAAGTTTCAGCGACTGTTTCCCAATAAATCACCTGACTGCATTTGTGTCACAGTGGCCATGGTCATGAAGGAGTTGTGAAGCAGTAGCATGGTATTTCCTTCGTTATTGTTGCTTTTTTAAAGGATATTTTTACGTGTGCAAACAAATTGAATAATATCGATTCGAGTGATGCCTTGAATACTATGAAGAACATTAAATATCTGACATTTGGACATTGTATCTTAACCGATATGCCTCTGTAGCTGATATGCTGTCTCGGAACTTTACCTTGCATTCTCAAATACATTGCAAAAAAGAAGATCGATTGAATGTAGTGAAATACTAACATAAGCACATTTTTGTCTTTTAAAAAATGAAATATTCGCCCATATAATATTTCTATATATGTTTTTATTGAAATACACCATTGTTTTTCATTGTCTACACTGGTTGAAAATTGGTGCGATATCATTATAAACTGTGAACATTATCGAAAATGGCGCCAGACGCTGTTCTTGTCCCTTGTGTTTTATAGACATTTTCAAAATGTTACTTTTCTGAGTGTATATAAAACAACAATATTGTTTTCATTTAAAGACCGTTAAAAACCTCAAGACTTCTTTCATAAAATCTCATATATAAAGTTCCTGCATATATTTCAACATAATCATTGATCTGATATCATAATATATATGAAAATTGTGAAATATATAGAACTATGGGGCTAATGTACCTCCCTATATAGTTTTATTTTTGCGTTTTATTAGATTAATTTCTATCTGCCTCTTTCGCCTCCTAGGTCTCGCAATTTAGGACTTTAAAATTACTGACGAGTCCTAAGAAGGACGATACAGCTTTTAATTGCAGTTTTCTTCACAACTTCGCTCTTCTGTATCTAATTCTAGATTTGTATTGAAATTTGCAATTCACTATTTTTCGGTTTTTTTTTTTTTTTTTTAAACTGGTTTTTATTAAATACTGGCGCGATTTTATGTGTTGATAAAGTCGTACCAATATACAGAGTGAGATAAATTAAAACATAAATACATCATGGAGGTCCTTTGTCAATGCCTGCAAATGTACATAAATTACACGCTTGCCTGATTTGTGTTTCAGGGACCAGGAAATACCTGTTAACTGTTATATATTAAGAGAACAGATAAGTTATGTTATATAGGTAGTGCTGACAGGTACGTGTGTCAATATGATAAACATTGTTTTAATTTTCTTCCCATTTAAATTATATCACAAACAAAATTCCATTGAGGTTAATTTTAATAACTTCAACCCTTACTAAAAAGAAGATTCAGGAATTAAAGTTGACCCAGCTGAACTCTTAATAGGTTTAAGTGTCATGTAGTCATCTCACTCCGGCCTCTAGGTATGCCATTAAGATTATATTGCTTAGGGAACATGCTTTAAAGAATATTCTTCAGACCGCAGGTAAACAACTGTATATATGTATGTACGTATGTATGTATGTATGTAGTTCCGATGACTCCTTTTCGATCGATTCTGTTAATAACGATAAGCCCTTATGCCTAAACGCTCACCTGAATATAAGACTTGTGTGAACAATGATATAACCATGTAAAATAAATCTGAATACTGCAGCAGGTAAGGTAACAAAAAAATAATATCAGTCCTATATCAACATTCTTAAAACATTCCATGATCATTATACTGGATTTCAGATAGACCTAAAATGACACTCATCAGGACCATCTCAGGTTTAAGCAGATGTTTAATTTTGGTTTATATGTCTTAACGTCTGATCAACAGCTAGGATTATTTAAGGACTGCGGTATGTTCGTGTAAACCTGCTTGTAATAGAACGGTACTTAAGCCGATATCATAGTGCTGCCTCCCTGAACTCTGCTGTCAAAGACCCATGCAGGACACCGAACCGATTACATCAAACCGATAAAAGTAGAAAGGAATTCTAAAATGGATGTCATTCAGGAAAGCCATGATCGTGTACCGTTACGAATTTCCCACTTTAGTTGTCATGCCATTCTGACGAGGCCGCAAAAAAAATAACAAAACAACTCCCCACCTTAATATTCAAACATAATGTAACCTCAATCGCGCCAGCAGAACAGGAGAATTTTGAAATGACTTTTGCTTCTCAAGATAGTAGTCACATTGGATAATGGACCTTACAAATATACCACTTGGTCAAGTACCATCTCAGGATTATTGCAGTCATGTTTGAGCGAAATCACGCTGGATGAACATGAGAAGTTTTAAATGTGAAGAGTCTAGGGAAGGCGGATGACGAAGGATGAATTCAAATGACTGGAGGTCATCCTAACCCTCTGTAATTAACAGTTATAACGAATTCTTTATCGTGATTGATGAATCCATGTATCAATGATTGCGCGCCAGTTTTGTTAATGTGGACAATGCATAATAAAGAACGAAGAGCAACTGTAATCGAAAGGAATGGCATGGGCTTGATGTCTATACGGTTATGAACTAGTCTGATCATGCCGTTTTCCTGTCTGTACAAGACGTGTTTGTTCTTTCACGCTCACATTGTATTTAGTGCATATACGTACAACAGAAATACATTCTTTGGCACTGTGAAAGTGCAAGTCATCAGTTGAAGGACAGTGCACTATTGCTTCTCTACCATTCTTAGTATAACAATAAATTTGTAATTTTAAAACGATACAGTTATTTTGTTCTAGAAAGTCTTAGATTTATTGAATTGGTAAACCTATAGATGACTTCACACTATCTTATATTAATACAGGGACTCCCTTGAAAGGTGATACCTACATTGTGACAAAAGTATTCACATTACTAACTCAATTAAGGAATAACACAGTAATGATAATTTAATATAGTTACCTCCCATAAATTGACAAATTGTTTCTTCAGGTCGGGCCTGAGAACAATAACAGTACTCCTGTAGCATAACATAACAGAAGCGTTCTGTCCATACAATTCCTCCACCTTATCAGACATTTTGTCTTTATAGGAGCATTCTTCACTGTGAGAAAGGCTTTTGGGACTGGCCGAGACATGCAAGATTCTATAAATATGTTTTGCCTTTGTCAGTATAATGTGGCCAGGTAGGTATTCGACTGTTTGCCTTGCCTTTAGCGGTATCCTTCAGTGAAGTGGCGGCATCAGTTCGCACTGTCACAAGAAAGCTTACACATACAAATAGCAATCTCACAGACATACGCACTCACTTCGCCTAAATTGTACGTAGGGATGTCGTCCTTAAATTGTAGTAGTTTTTTTTTTTTTTTTTTTTTTTTTTTGCTGTGACGTTAAGGAATATAAATACAAACCAATCCGTTCGCAAATATTTTCTAGCTGACCTCGCATGTATGCCAGAGATATTTGACAGTTATTTTTTTAAATGGTGGAGGGGAGGTCAGTGTACTGTAGGAGAATGTTTTATGTTAGTTTTGTTTTCATCGACGGACATTTTCTTGTCAAATGTGACAAGATGCAAGAAATAGCTGAAAAAACAGCCATGTTCTATATGTACAATATATCGCCTGGAGCAAAATTCATACAGCAAGATTTCACATTAAAGCATAGCTTTATATTTAAAAAAAAAGGTATACTTAATATTAAACTAACTTGTAAACGCGTAGTAGGACAATTATATACATTTATATGAAATATATACCATACCGTTATATGACAACAATTTACATTACACATACATGCATTAAAAGGTATATAAAACCACGATTGTGCACTATGAGCTTGACGTTGTCATACCCAATACACCTTCTCAGGTTACCCTGATTAGTAACTAACAATCCAAACAATGAAATATTCAGGAATGTACAAACATATGCCAGAGCAATTTTCTGATTAAAATGAAATTTTCTGTACCTTGTCATTTATTAGACGACAAATGATGAGCCCAGCAGAGAGGGGGGTTGTCTCTGCCTTCCTCTAATTGGACATTGAAGAGACCAAAATTGATTTGTTATCCTAATTGCAATACGTTGTATTACCGTCTTAGAACTAAAATCCATTATCTAATCCCCAGGATACGCATAAACACAGGCATACTGTCCTTTCAATTCAAATAGCTAGATCACTATGCATATATATCCTGTGTGTTTCAGTGCTATAAAATAACCTTTGTAATTATATGGTCATTGACGTTGAAGAGATGTATATCCTGACCGAATTCACTAGATAACAGGCTGATTATGTGATAAGTAATATTCCAATGTGTTCATAGGTATTAATCACACATATATCAGAAGATAAAACGAACTAATGCAGTGTATATCACTTAGATATATCATTGACGGTGTTCCATCATGCATATCAAACATATGCAACATTAAACATATTAAACAAACTCTAATGAATGCCAAGTCTGGCATCACGCCTCACTTTCGCGTTCCCATTGCTGTTCATATCAAGAATGAAACCATAGTTCAAGAGCTCACCTGATTCACTTTTTCACAAGTGTCGTGACTGGGAAAGAAATATCATTGCCAACATTCTTATAATTGATTTTGATTGATTTCACAACCTGTACCTGTGGAATTTATTCCAGTGAATTATTTTTTTCCGATCATTTGGTTTTAATTTTCATTATTTACACACAGTATGATATACGTACCTGATGTAAGAAAGCAAGGTGCGGATAAAAAGGCTGCAATATTAGCCAGGCGCTGGACCCCAGTGACGACAAGGGACATGAAAAGTCCGAGGTACAGCGACAGGAGAGCGATAATGGCGAGAACCTGGTTACCTACTGCCGTACTATATTCATATTCTGGAAATAGACAAAACACTTTTTTATCTTTTATTTCGGAATATTTTCTACATATTGGTGATGCCAGCAGAAGATTTGAGTGTGACGTTACGGTGACCACAATGCCATCTTCATCCGACAAATGACCAGTGTGGAGCGTACTTGCACTGACTGTATGTAGTGTGCGAGAATCGACCATCTATTTCGGCTGTACTTTAATCATATATACACGAAGGCCGAATATCGTGTGACGAGATGGTAAATAGATTAAATATGTACGCCATTTCCTCCATCATTTAATTAAATTATAGTCGAATTTAGACTACGCAGTGAATTACAAAACATAGTACCCCAGTTGCCCTTTAAATCATTGTGATCAGAAATGTTCATACTGTAGTCCGAAGTATGGTCAGACACACTCATATAGTAAATAACTTAGTGTGGTCGAATTTGTACACGTTTCACATCACGTTTTGATGGACAATTGACAAAATATAGGGGACCGCATGGCCGGGTGTTAAAGGCGTTTGACAGTCTTTTTCACATTCCCTCCACCTTCGAGCCACGTGTTCGAGGTAGCCTGGGTGCGGTCGCCAGATTCTGACCGTAGGTCAATATCTTTCAACGAGAACTCCAATTTACCTCCAACACTCAAGCTTCGCACGTCCTTAACATACCTTGAGTAATAATGATATGTTAAACAACAATTAACCAGATATGGACAGACATCCAAATGTTATTTTTATGGTCACTTTACACATTAACTTAAGATGGGAGCACACGGTTGTCTTGATTGACCACTTAGATCCGACCACACAGTATTTCCATAGATACGTATAAAGTCATGCAAATACGTCTGGACGGTCCAGTAACAACAAACATCAAGAAAATACCAACATTGCAACATAGTTATAATTCTAACTCAAATTTCATTAAAAAAAAATATTAAGATTTACACGGAGACTCCTGAAAACAAGGAGAATAAGACCAGGTGTTCCTGAAGAGTAAGAGTGTAACAAAGTAGTTTTATACAGTGACTGCATTGGTTTTAACATTGGTTTACTAACAACAAACATCAAGAAAATACCAACATTGCAACATAGTTATAATTCTAACTGAAATTTCATAAAAAAAAATATTAAGATTTACACGGAGACTCCTGAAAACAAGGAGAATAAGACCAGGTGTTCCTGAAGAGTAAGAGTGTAACAAAGTAATTTTATACAGTGACTGCATTGGTTTTAACATTGGTTTACTAAGCCAGGGAAAGCAGTGGAATATGGCTTCTTTCAATTTCATTTAGATGTTGTGCTCTGTCAACATTTTGGTCATATGTGTTCCTGAGTAGATATGCATAGATAAAGCTTTTGTGGTACTATCGCATTAAAATGTCAAAGCCTTCTCCATAGCAAATTAGTATAGTCATAGTGACAATGGACAAATGTGTCTATAGTGACATATTCAATTACAGCTGAGAGTTTACAGGAAAAGAAGTTCAGGTCTAAGATTTACAAAAGACACACAAATGAGAAGCACCTTTTAATACAATTAAGTATAAGAATATGCATCATACAGCTGTTTCGTCATTTTAGGACTCGTTAGTGATGCTAAGGGCCTTATTTTTGAAACTCAGGAAAATCCAAAGCGATTGGGAAAAAATCAAAACATAGTTAGGATGGTGCACTAGTCCCAAGATTCAATAAATTTAGTAATTTTCAAATATCCGATTATTTGAGAAGACTGTCAAGTACATGTGTATATTCTGATCAGTTCCACTTTTTGAGTGAATTTAATCGTGACATGCAAGGTATGACAGGGAATAGAACCAAACTTTCATTGCTTAAGTGGACACAAGACAATACAATTCAAGGTGATACGTCAGAAAGGAAACACTGCTGATAATGAGACATATCACTGTATTCCTTGACTTGCTGGAACGTCCAACAGTTCAGATTAAATTGATCATAACAGGTTCATATAAATGGAGTTACGACATGGACACATGCTTAACCGAGACAAGTAAAGACTATAATGGCATTTGTCTACACAAGACGTTTCTGTAGAAGTTATGGACGAGTGCAGTGATTATAACGTTCCAAGCTCTTTTTATGCTCTCTATGGACACAACTTTTCGTTCATTCAATTCTGACTCTAAGAAAACAATGGTCAGGAAGTTGTAATAAATAAATATGGTTAGCGAAAGTTATTACAACATGTCATTTCCGACTGATTTTTGCATTTATTTCTGTTTATTAATATATTGCAAATTTCAAACACAAGTAAACAAAACAAAACAAAGATATTTGTGTATGACTGTCTCTGGGTCTCTGCAGTATATCATGAGACACTAGAATGCAGCATAGACACGTGTGCTAAACGATCAGCTCACTGGACCGTAATGTTAAAGTGATTTGAACGGGACATGCTTGTCGGTAAAGCTAAGGTTGTCTTTTAGAAAGGTAAACCTATGTTATGTACTCATTAGCGTATGTGTTAGACTTGTCATCAATCTTAAATTGTAAGAAGTCTGATTTATAAATGACATATCATTTACTTAGGCTTTACATATATACATATTATGTATATACTGAAATTAGCGTTTCGATCATTCGAATGTAAAGCGGGTTTATTGCACTTTCAACACAATTAGTGTCTAGCCCTCAACAGGGCATGGTATTTTTATGAAAAGGAAAGACTTTAAAGTGCGCAAAATTACCATCGATGGGGCAACCCAGATAGCACTTGCTGTTTATGACACGATTTCTATTAAATCAATACCTATATTTCAAATTAGAAATAAAAGAATATTATTAATTTTTAATAATATGAATATTTTTTGCTACTTTTCAATATGCTATGGTACGTTTGAGTTTCATTCACGTGTGTAAAGTATTATTATAATATAACAGCTTTAATGAAATTAAGTGGAAACGAGAGGCCTGTGGGTCATTTCGGTCATTAAACAATAAAGATATATTTATAAATTAGTAGGAATAGGGATAGTTATCAAAGGATCAAACCTGATCAGAATGTTTCAGCAGTAAGAGGAAAACAACCCTCATTTCCGTTTCTCAACATTTCCATTGTTAGGAAGAGTTTCGCAATGTAGCTGACGTATTGGAATTCTGACCGACACGAAAAATATCAATACTTACTCAGAATAGATTCAATCAGGTTTCAACTCAATCCAACAGGTGGAATTTGCTAAGACGTTTAAAACAGGTGTTGTCCGAGGAAACCATGATAACAGAATCATGTTACAAAATGGCCGCCATGTTGTGTGCCATATTGAACTTGACAAAGCCGAAAAATAACAAGCCATTACCAATTTCCCTTCCTTAATATTCCCTCCAAGTTTCAACTCTGAGCCACCAATGGGTTTGATGACCACAAATGAAAAACTTTTTTAGAAAACTATTGTCCTTATTAATGTAAGTAAATGAAAACAGAATAATACAATTATATAGTACATATTGAGATCTTGTACATGTTTTCCAAATATATTCAAAAGCAAACTATAGACTTTTTTATTCATCACGAAACTATGTTTTTCACATAAAATTCATTTTAACAGATTATTGATATATTGTGTTGGTGATTTTTCTTCACATTCTCAGTAACTTGTGCTGACATTCAGATTTCAATTCCAATTTTCAGCTCCTTTATAACTATACGTATCGTTCAAGCTGAAAGCTATGATGTTAACAACAGACATCTTCTTGCAAGAGATTGGAAGTTATAACTAGCGTTTGTTTTAAGTTCATTGACCCTGATTATAATTGCGGGCTAATTGCCACAGGTTGCAGATAGATCTCGACACCTAAGATTCTTAGAGGTGAGGCCGTTTTAAAGTGATTCTCACCTCCTTTGTGTACAGAATTAACCCAGTGCCCCAGAGTCTTAGTAGGAAGGACTTGTTATGTCATACTAGTCATTGTAGTTTTTGTTATGTAGGGGATAGGGCAGAGTGGCGCTAAGGAAAGCAGCATAGGACAGGATGACAACGAAAGAGTGAAATAGAAAGAGGAGGGCGTGGACGCTATGCTTGGGAAACATTAAAAAAACAAATGTAAGTTATCAAAGATAACGGATTACTGAACCTAACAAAGTGTATTGCCATTTATAGTTAGTTACGGACATGCTGTCTTGGTGTTATCAATGAGGCGGTAGATGTTTTCTTTTTCTTTCGGATTAGATAGGTTTTTTCGTTCTTGTATTTTCAAGGTTCGGTGTGTAAATCTTTCATTTGTTCACATTTTCCCTTTGTTTTACTTATACTTTGTTTGAATTATGACATCGTAGACACATCGGAATTCCGCTGTTTTTTAGAAAAGTATCGTCATCAAATTAAAACTAGTGTGACAAAACGTGATATTTACAATATAGTAACCTAGACTTAGAAGCATGTTCATGTGTCTTACTAACCTAGATTTCTTTAGAAAAGTGACGTAATGCGTTTACAAATACATTACTGAAGGACTAGGTGTGTTAATTCATAGGACCAGGCAATCAAGCTTTCACTTTTTTGTCAAAGCAGCAAAATGCAAAAGTAGAAATTTGATGAAGCGTGTAATTAAAAGTTTTCGTAATCAAGAAAAATTGTATCATTTAGGATATTGTGAAATACCTCACATGATCGAAACATTAACGCACTCACCAACTGTTTCTTTGGTATTTATGACATGTAATAAGTGTCATCTGGTTTATATTATGAATATGTATAAATATTAACTGTGATATTATTCAGATGTTGACGTGACCCGATCCTCATGTAAGTCAAACAAGTGTAATGCCTTAGATTTCCATCTTCAACAAACCTATTGTTATTGAAAATAATTGTTGCAAGTAGTAGAAACTAAAACATTCCAAATGTCCATCAGATGGTCAAATTAAACGTCAACGATGTAGTTAGATATCTAATTAAGCGTACAGAACCACTATTTGTTAATCATGGGAGCACAGTTTTAATTGATAATTGAATGATAGAGTGAATTAAGTTAAGACTGAGTGATGGTTGTCCCTCTATCTTAACGTTCAGATATGTTGTTAGTGGCGTATACAGCACAGTAAATGACATAACGTCGTACATAATATCGACATCTTAGTATAAACAAAATACGCTTTGTAATAGACATTGGTCATTTTACTACATATTTATGAGCAAGAAACCACATGCATGGATGGTGCCAGCCTACTTAAACTAGTTCACTGCCCTCGTTAAAAACTGCTGACCCCTTCAGGTTCAAATAGTTACTTGTAACTGACAAAAATGCAACCGTATTATTACAGCAAATAAACCGTTATTTTCTAACGTGTGGATTTCTATTCCCTTTTGTTCTTGTTAATGCATTGACACCGCCTAATGGGATGCATAAAGTTGCCAGTGTCTACTCCGCTAAAAGAAAACATGAAAGGAAATAACTAAAGGACGAGGTATATGATGCCAGTGTGTGTATATCATTGAACTATGAACTGACTTTAAACAAATCAAACGTATTGAGCATGAATCGGAAATTTACATTAATGCGTTATTTACATATAATATGACGTCAGTAGGTCAAAATAAATAGCATTTGGATTACAAAGGTTAAAATTGATAAATTTCCTCCATAGTCTTGAATTTTAATTATAACTTGAATCCGATTAAATAGATTCTTACTGGTTAGCAGACTTTACCGTTTCGTTTGTGTGTTTAAACTATGTTCAGGACACCATCAAAATGTGATGTATTGGCTTATGCTATTAGTTTGACTAGTCTTGCCGAATATATTCCACAGCCCATGCAAACAAACGATAATGACATTAATGTGGATTTATAAAGGGAGGGCACGTTATCTTATAGCATGCTTAATGGTTTATAACACAAAATCGTGAATGCATGAACATTTAGCCAAGTATCTGATTAAAATTATTTTTCAACTGGTAATCGTGAATGAGATTACCTTTGCTGGTTGCTTGTTAAAAAGGTGCTAAGTAAGACTTGAAATTTAGGTTCTCATAGACAAAGGTGAAATGATTCTGGTATCACGTCACCGTGTTGGAAGATGTTGAAGTAAGTAAATATTGTATGTATGTCACACGTGTAAGTGCTCGGAGGACGATGGTAAGTAATGTATAGCAAATATGTGTCACTATTGTATAAACTGAGAGGTTATTTTGTATATAAAGGTAAGAAAAAAAGAAGTTTCATAATATATCATATATAATGTAATGACTAGAGAAATGAAGCTCGTTTAGAGCCTTTAGAGTTCCAAACTGATTGATGTATCACCACTGTTATAAATCTTTCCGTGCATCAAGCTTTATAACAATATAAGGCAAAACATCGCCATACAAGAAGCAATAGATATCACAAATTTTCTATTTGATATCATAACGAACATTTACAATACAAAGACTAAATAAATGCTACTTACCATTTACCCATGAAAAATGTGAACTACCTTTGTCTTGATTGTATTTCTCTAAATACGTGAGATATTCACAACTGCTCGACTTTTTTCCACATGCAAGAATAAACCAAATTCCTTTTAGTGTCATCCCCTGATGTGTTATTTCCCATCCGGGTGCAAAAATCCCAATTGTAAAGAAAAGGCCACCAAGAACTGCCGTTATGAAAAGAGCGATTCGGATCCATGGGGTGAACATGTTTGTGTGTGGGAACGACAACGCTGTATTGACGAAGTCGATAGCGGCTGGTATCAGTTTATAACTTTCATGTTACGGTTTTGATGTATGGCCTGTTTGTTAGATGTACCGTAAATACTGTTCAGTTCATTGTTTTACCTAGTATATAATATATACACAAAAAAGAGGCGTCACGCATCAGGAAGCACGGGGTTGCTTCAGGTAACATCCTATTATATTCCCTCGGGCATAGTTAGCTTAAAGAATTTAAGACGAATAATAACACCTGTCTTATTATCTCTCCATATTTTGTAGACATCCGCTGGTGGTTATTGAGCTGAAACATTCTTGTGTAACTTACAACCATCACATTCTGTTGGAATGACATAATGTTAACATGTAATATATATATATATATATATATATATATACTGTATTCTAATCGTTGTTTCAGTTAAGTAGCTCTATGTATACGGAAAGGTAACGATTGTTTTATTGTGACGGAGAAATTTACTTTAACACACTTGATATCAACTTTGGAAGCTACTAACCAACATTAATACCGGAGTTACATAGACACTATGTTGTTTATATATTTGTCCATGCGTTGATCAGGGTGAATGATAAATAAATGGCATAAGGTGTAGGGTATGGCTGATAAATCAATTATCAGTACCTTGTTTTTGTTTGTGTTTTTTTCTGGAATTCAAATTATATCAAAGAGCCAATCATCATTATAGATATACTTAATAAAACATTTGGAGTTCGATTACCATATAACATTTGTATCCAAACTGTTTCTGTCTCTTCAAACAGTCGTTTGTCAGTAATCGTAATACCATAATCCATAAGACTTACTTTCAGCAGCATATATATATAAACAATATCTGTGGCATGTCTTGTAATCCAAAGTTTAGTTTTGCCATCGAGTAAAGAAAACAAATAAGTAAGTGGTTAATAATTATTTATTTAAAGTATTACAATTCACAATACATCTGACAGTTCTTCTATTACACCATCTGTGTTTAACACAAAACAAATAATATCTCCATACTTTATACGAGATGCAAGGATGCGACAACACCGCTTGCGGAATTTATTACATGCACATACATAGATACTACAAATCTTATGCAAAAAAACACAAAAACGCAAAGTTATACCCTTCCTAAACCAATAACGCATATTAGCGTTACCTACCAAAGGCCATTTCGCTCAGGATCAATTATAATAGGGTGGGTGGACACACATTCTCGCATACCTACGAGATCAAGTTTTATCAGAATACATTGTTACCAACGTATGTACTTTTTTATATACGCTGTTTACCATCTCGTCACATATTTTCGACCTTAGTATACAAAGAATTATAGTACAGCCGAAAAAAATTGTCGATTCCTTACCATCTCGCACACTATGGACGTCAGTGCTAGTACGGTCACACTCTAATCTTTTACTGGTTGTGTTATAAGAACTTCTATTCTGTAAGGTATACATGTGATTCCCGTTGACCTGAAACAGTCCATTCCGCATGATTATAAGCCCAACTAATCACACTTTTATAAAGTTCAGCCGTGCTTAGAGCATACATAGGAATTGCATTATGCATACATAAATATCTTATCAATGAGGAAGATTTATGGCTCCACGTAAACTTATAATCATCCAAGAAACATTTATCATATTAGAGAATTTTAAAATGCATGTCAACATGTTATGTGCATTCATTACGACATAAACATCTTGCAGTAAGAAACTCTCATTGTCAGGTAGTCCTATTACGGCCTCCGTCATACTTATACAATCACAACAATTAATACAGTTGCCAAAAACACTAACATTTTTTAAATAATATATGACTGTATATTACATCGTAATTTGATTAAAGAATAACTGTGTTATTATTTTAAGACTGTCATATTGCAACAAGACACGCAATTTCCAACAAGAGTAGTTGTTTTATTTAATGATGCAGTTTTTTTTCAAACACTTCATCACATCGCCATATATGTGTAAAACATATACCACTTCTTTCAAATCAGTTATATATAAATAATCAGTTGAAATATCACTTCAATGAAATGACATAAAGCATGCGTGCAAGCTGTAACCTTGGGGCAGTGCTGGTTGTTTTCTTAACGATTGTCATTATCTGTGTCTGTAGTGTACAGTAAAAAGGACTTGCATTTTTGCTATCTATCTCTATCAATAATCATAAAATTACAGCGTGCACAAAGGTTTCATTGTCATGTCGACATGAAATATATAATAATTTAAAACGAATGTTTTTTCTCAGACCGAAATTTGATGATTTTTGTAAAATGACAAAGACATACTAATTAGTATATTGGGACTTCTGCCCCGAGATTTTGACGTACGAGGCCATGGTTTGCTTGTCACTTCTCAGGTATTACATATAATATCTACATGCAAACAATCCAGTATCTTAAGAATTCGGCATCCTAAAAACCTAAAGTTATTATCATCGACCAACTCTCACCTATATTTTGATTTTTTTGCCTTTCCCAACAGCGCTCTTTTGACCCCATACCAACACTGAAGATTCGTAGAACGACTAAACAGATATATTATAAAAATTAAGTTTTGCGATAAAAATGAATTTACTATTGAATTCCTATTGTATGTTGCTATTGCCCAGCGTGATTGTTGTTCAACTCTTTTAAATTGTATCAAAACTCTGCTAAGTAACTCTTCATCATATGTTTGCCGTAATTCTGCATATTCTTACAAAAAGGTTTAAGGAAAACAACCTATACATCAAAAGCATTAAGATAATAAAAAAATAATTATATACGAGAAATAATTAAGCTAGATTAGCTTTTGTCGAGGTCGATTTCGTTTTTCCCTTCTGAATTTCTAAACTTTTCGAAACGATTAAGAATCAAAGATGGATGATATAGATGTACATGTCGTTTTGTTTCTAACTTCATACTTGTTACTTTACCTATTGGTGTTATCGTTATATACCTTGTTCACATTTAAGAGCATGACTTCACGTACTTGGATTGTCCAAAATTTATAAGGCGGGTGTCGTCGATGAAGCAGAAGACGCGTATGTTTCCGGAACACCTGGCTTTATCTTTAAATCTTTCTTTTGTTCATATTTTGCCCTAGTTTTATACAATTTGAGTTTGGATTATGAATATGTTTTTATATTGACAATTTCTTCTTGTATTTTGGCAGATACCTTACCATTAAAATGTAATATGAATAACCTAAGAAATAAACCTTTGCTGATCTCTTCCTGAGGGTTATTTTTGTTGATTTTCCAAATGTAAGAGCAAGTCAAATGTTAAGGTCATTGATAAATCACTAATCAGCGGGGATGCCATTGATGATGATACGAGGGACAAAAACACTGTAACATAGAGTCGTCATCTTCAGAAGGTATATACTGTAGTATCCATTGCCAGAGTGTTTTGAAAAATATAAGGAAACGAAAGGTTCCGGTGATTATTTGCATGCCACAATGAAGAAACTATTAATGTGATAGAACGTTTAGATATGTCTTTAATACACACCATACTGTATATTACCTTCCTCATCTTCACATAACACGACGTAATACCTTATCAATCAAGACACCTACCACCAGCCAAGTGTAAAATTGTCAAAACAGTCACATATTACATTTTAAGTATAAAATACATAGGTACATAATTTTCAATTTCACAACAGTATATACATGTAATTAAAAAAAAAATGAAAAAAACAACTACAGTCTTTAGTATAACGACTAATTAAATATCTTGTTGACGGTATCAGCGAAAAACAATTATTACATCCCTTAAAAAACAATTTAATGTCCGCATTAAGAATTTTGTTGCAACGGGGTCATATTGTTTCATAAACACATCTCGTTATCTATGGCATTGTGTACATATTGTATATTCTAAAAGGACGGTCATGGCCGTCTTATCAAGTCCGTCTTGTTTCCAAGAGATGTTTATCTGCAATGAATCCATATATACATGTACCTGACGTTCTTCTGGAAATATCAGATGTACAAAAATGACAGTTTTTTTTAAATTATGGGGCTAGTGGACCTCCGCGTTTAGATTTTGACATTTCTTTCAATCACTTTAGATTTTCCTTAAACATCTCGTGGGTTTCTTTATAAGTTAACATTACTCACGAGTCTTAGATGGGTAACCATGATGCAGCATTGCTTTGTTCTTGGCACTACATAATCTAATTCATTTGTTATGAAAAGGGGTTCTTTATTTGTGTGTCTTTCATACAGTTTTCAAGAACAGTTTATATATTCAACGATTATACATGTAAAACACATGATATAGTTAAACTTGTAGACTGAAACTGATCGTTTTTGTTCTGCTCAAAGTTTGCAAGTTTTTGGAGTGCTTCTCTATATATCCAAATAATGAAACAATATATCGCATTGGGATATAGGCACCCAACAATGCTTGATCTTTATTTGTTCTTTAAAAGTTTAATATTTCCTCTGCCTATTTTCTTCATGATGATTTGTAACTGACAATTTACATTTGGAACTTCAGGAATCCCCATTCATGACTTTCCAAAGCAAAAAGTATGACAAGTCATATCTAAGATCCATGAGTGACGTCTGTCAGTCATTTTGTTTTCCAAATCTGTCTTGTTCTTAACCAATGTAGACCTATATACAAAATAGAGGAAAAATCCATCCTGTACATCTCAGGAAACTGCAATTACAAAAATTGCTGAAGGCATGACGGCGAACCAAGGAAGGAGATGATCTATATGATGGTGATTGACCAGACCAACAATTATCTTTATTATGTACGTACGTACATTTACACATGAATGACACACGTGTAATCCTCCACTGTGTGTACTACGGTGAAAACACAGCCGATTCGTTACATGCTAATCGTGGTCGATGACTTTCTACCATCGCGTCCATGATTCAACAAAGTGCGAAACTAAAACCGACAAAAGCTGTACATTGTCAGCCATGTTGAATATGATGTCAGTGTTCAGTGTAAAATATATCTTGCTGGACGGGGACACTTTCAGTTCAGTTTAAGTCGTGGAGCAAGGATGTTGTATGGGTAGATATCCTCCAGTTGGTTTCTAGAGCAAGGGAATACATCTTTAGCTCCGGTACAGTAAAGGTTGTCGGAGGTGGCCCGAACGTACGCCGATAACATACTGAATCCACTGTTGCTGATAACGAGTAAATCACATGTTGTTAAGGTATAGAAATCCACCATACTCGTCATAAAGATATCACAACCAGACACGTGATCCATATTCCCCAAACTACCCGACGTGGTGATAATGTTATACCCTTGGAGAAATTTGATACCAGCATCCCGAACTTTTTGTTGGTCAGTTGCTATGTAGATATCATATTTTGAACTGTTTAATGTTGATAGAAATTTCCAAGTGGTTGAAAAGTTTCTGGAATTGTTACTATTGTCTCCCGCGCGTGAATGTGAACATGCCAGTAAGTCATGTTTTCGCCTTTTCTGAATCTCACCATATTTGTCTAGAAGAGTTTTGCCAGGTTTAAAAAGATAATGATACAATTCCGAATATATATCAGCGTATTGAAGTTTTGATACCCAGGGTAAATCTTCGCTGATATTCGGTCTTCTTCTAAATTCCTCTGTTATATCCCAGTTCATTCGTATTAAAGTGACATTTTGTTGAAACGCATTTTCCAGATGATTAGTTGTCAGTGTTTTGACTCTGATGTTGTAGGAATTATTGTCAATCAAATTCATATATTGGGAGTTCTTAAGTATTTCGGATTGGTCAATTTTCCAGTTATATTTGTTAGGTTCAAGAAAAGTGTCAAAAGCGCACGGTTTATCATGATTGATCTTAAAACGGCGGCGTGCTATAATGGCTAGTCCAAATGTACTAAGTATTCCAGAGATTCTGTCTGACCATCCACCGCACGCACCTGCGTGCTTTTTACTGCAATCGTACACTATATATCCACTACCCGGACGATCCACGGGAAAAAACAAATGACCTATTTCGTCTTTTAAACCATTTGAAGGAAATCCTTTCTTGGCGCCTCCAACAACCATTTTAATATCGGTCATAAATCTACTGCTTGAGGCAATGATAACGGAAATTATAATCAGTATCACAATCCCACTCTTGCATGATATCTTCCAACGTGGAATCTGATAACGAAAAGCAGAGTTATTACATACAAACAATTGATAAACAGATATTAAGTTCACCAACATTGAATGGTGAGGGGGTTTCTCTAGTCAAATATGATAGGTTTTTTGTGATAACGGTAGTGATTTTTATTCTAAATTGGAAAACATTTATTTCAACTATGTATGTATGTTAGGATTTAGGACCATTATTTCAAAATCAAAAAAAAAAACTTTTATTCCTTTAAGAATGAATGAATACCTATTCACCTTAATTATCATTTAGTTTTGAATAGGTTTAGAATAGGTTAAACAAATTATGGTATTTAGAAATTGGACCATCACCTTGTGTAAATATGTTCTGAAAACGAAAACTACTAATCTAACTTTGATTGCAATCTGTTCTGATGTCAAAATACCTCTGCATAATATACAACCCGCTGCTAAAACATGGAATTTATGAATTTCTAGAATTTTAAGGTCTTATTGAAGAAAATAATATTTCCGCATTAATTTCATAAGCATTGTCGCGCTAACGGAACAAAATTAGTTTAATTCGATATTCAATATGACTGAAGCGACATAACAATGCTAACCACATATATCTAATGTTTAAAAAATGAATACACTGATTTTGGTACTATAAACATAAAACATTGCCCACTTATATATACATATTTTACATTTAAACATTGAATTTTGCTTTTGTCGATTTCAGTTGGTGATGAATTGAGTTGCTCTTCAGGCAAATGTAATGAACTGAAAACAGTTCATGTTGAATTTGTCTCAACAGCAAACTAATTTTGTCCTCCCTTGAGGTCGACAAAAGCAATGCTTATATTGCAATTAATTTTAGAAATTTTGATAATTCTCCGACAGCCTTGCGGAATACTTAGTTCTACGGTTGTGTCCCTCTTCGCTTCGATCTGGGCGGCAGACATTTTCAAAAAGTTAGGTAGTGTGTTTTGTGACTTTTTCTCGGTAATCTATGTATCTGGCATCACGTGCTTAGTCAAGAAGAAATTCTGTGTCAAAATCATCCACTTACAGATGGTGGAAGGTCAAACATTTTTGTAACGCACGACAGTATTTGCAAGGTCTAAAGCAGATAACAAAACATGGAAAAAAATCTGTTATGCTGAAAATTACCATAATGTCATATTTTTTATATATATTTTATCTATCTTTATCAATTTATATTCTGCAAATCGAGGGTGAATTTGAATACTTTTATTTAAAGTTAAACATCAATCATCAATCTCTAACAGAATCTGGAAAGGAAGTATTTACACATCCAGAATGTTAATTTCGTCAGATTCATGTACAAATGGAACAGGCTTAATATGAAGTCCAACAAGAGTAGAAATTGAAATATTATAAACTGAGCTGCCTGCACAAGAAATTCAATTCATTTAAAGTGCTTGATAAACCTCTTGACTTTTGGGTGCAAGGGTTTACCTTTGCATTTTCTAAACAGTAAACGATACTAGCCTTATTGGTATACTTTCCTTTGTTCAGCGGGACACCAACAATTTAATTGCAATATCAGAATTCAGATACTTTCCAATGAGATAATACAAATACGGGGAAAAGCGAGGACAAATTTGGGGGACTGGTTCATAAGAAAACAATATGAATACAGATTTCTTGCTCTTTCTAAAAGGCTGTCCCAGCATTACAATCTCTGCAAAAGCCTACGAAAAATGTATTTTATATATTCTAATTATGTGGCATAAAATCGGTAATATACACATTTTTACTGAGATGAGAAGATTACTGCTTTAAGAAGCCGTGTACTTTATACGATTTTATACAAGACAGTTATCAAAATTGAACTTACCATTATGATAATTCTGTGTTAGGCTTATACTTGATGTGTCCGGTAAAGCAGGATACTTGGGTTGTAGCTTCAAACAAAACGTATATGTATATAATTATGATTAATTATCATGGTGTTTCGACAAATTATGCATACTGAAAGCTACCAAAGTATAACAGAACAAATATACTATCAAACTTTTGCCACAATTATCATTATCACCATAACACACTTGATTACCAAGTTTGTCAACTTCGTCTGCTACAGCCGACGTCGATCTAACTGTCAAAATAACCAATGTAGATTCCACCACAAGCAAAATGGCATCAGTTACTGACATGAATAACTTTCATTTACAATTTCCATAATCATTCTCTTCTTAAAATCGCATCAATCCACTCCGCGACATAACAGCGTAATTACTTCCCGGAAATAAAAACATTTGACAGGTTTTTCGTGAAATCCGAGAGCCACATCACGTTTCAATGTAATATCATACAACTGCTATATAGGGTTACACGAGGAAATGTTTATTACTGCTGTTCTCGGATATGGACTTCCTGACCTGAGTATTTATTGTTACCAGACCGGTATACACGAATTCGGATGGACGATAAATCGCCATTCAATCCATCTTTCTCCTACACAAACACCAGTAACATCTCCAACTACAAAAACATCAGTAACATTTCTACCTACACAAACATCAGTAACATTTCCACCTACACAAACATCAGTAACATTTCTACCTACACAAACATCAGTAATATTTCTGCCTACACAAACATCAGTAACATTTCTACCTACACAAACATCAGTAACAATTCCACCTACACAAACATTAGTAACAATTCCATCTACACAAACACCAGTTACATTTCCACCTACAAAAACATCAGTTACATTTCCACCTACACAAACACCAGTTACATTTCCACCTACACAAATATCAGTTATATTTCCTCCTACACAAACACCAGTAACAATTCCTCCTACACAAACATCAGTAACATTTCTACCTACACAAACATCAGTAACATTTCCACCTACACAAACATCAGTAACATTTCTACCTACACAAACATCAGTAATATTTCTGCCTACACAAACATCGGTAACATTTCTACCTACACAAACATCAGTAACATCTCCACCTACACAAACATCAGTAACATTTTTACCTACACAAACATCAGTTACATTTCTACCTACACAAACATCAGTAACAATTCCACCTACACAAACATCAGTAACATTTCCGAATACACAAACATCAGTAACAATTCCTCCTACACAAACCTCAATTACATCTCCACCTACAACAACATCAGTTACATTTCTACCTACACAAACATCAGTAACAATTCCTCCTGCACAAACATCAGTTACATTTCTACCTTCAAAAACATCAGTAACATTTCTACCTACACAAATATCAGTAACAATTCGAACCTACACAAACATCAGTAACATTTCCACCTACACTAACACCAGTAACAATTCCACCTACTAAAACATCAGTAACAATTCCACCTACACAAACATCAGTTACATCTCCTCCTACACACACATCAGTAACATTTTTACATACACAAAATTCAGTTACATTTCTACCTACACAGACATCAGTAACAATTCCACCTACACAAACACCAGTAACAATTCCACCTACACACACATCAGTAACATTTTCACCTACACAAACATCAGTAACAATTCCACCTACACAAACATCAGTAACAATTCCTCCTACACAAACATCAGCAACATTTCCACCTACACAAACATCACAAAGAATTCCTCCTACACAAACATCTGTAACAATTCCACCTACACAAACACCAGTAACAATTCCACCTACACAAACATCAGTAAAATTTCCACATACAAAATATCAGTAACATTTCCACCTATACAAACATAGTTACGTTTCTACCTAAACTAACACCAGTAACATTTCCACCTACACAAACATCAGATACATCTCCACCTACACAAACATCTCTAACAATTCCACCTACACAAACATCAGTAACAATTCCACCTACACAAACATCAGTTACATCTTCACCTACAAACACTTCAGTAACAATTCCACCTACACAAACATCAGTAACATTTCCACCTACACAAACATCAGTAACAATTCCACCTCCACAAACATCAGTAACAATTCCACCTACACAAACATCAGTAACATTTCTACCTACACAAACATCAGTAACAATTCCACCTACACAAACATCAGTAACATTTCTACCTACACAAACATCAGTAACAATTCCACTTACACAAACATCAGTAACATTTCCACATACACAAACATCGGTAACATTTCTACCTACACAAACATCAGTTACATCTCCATCTACTCAAACATCAGTAACAATTCCACCTACACAAACATCAGTTACATCTCCATCTACTCAAACATCAGTAACAATTCCACCTACACAAACATCAGTTACATCTCCATCTACTCAAACATCAGTAACAATTCCACCTACACAAACATCAGTAACATTTCCACCTACACAAACATCAGTAACAATTCCACCTACACAAACATCAGTTACATCTCCATCTACTCAAACATCAGTAACATTTCCACCTACACAAACATCAGTAACAATTCCACCTACACAAACATCAGTTACATCTCCATTTTTACCTAACATTTTTACCTACACAAACATCAGTTACATTTCTACCTACACAAACATCAGTAACATTTCCACCTACACAAACATCAGTAACATTTCCATATTCTCAAACATCAGTAACAATTCCTACTACACTAACACCAGTAACAATTCCTCCTACACAAACATCAGTTACATCTCCACTTACACAAACATCAGTAACAATTCCTCCTACACAAATATCAGTTACATTTCTACGTTCAAAAACATCAGTAACATTTCTACCTACACAAATATCAGTAACAATTCCACCTACACTAACTCCAGTAACAATTCCACCTACTAAAACATCAGTAACAATTCCACCTACACAAACATCAGTAACAATTCCACCTACACAAACATCAGTAACAATTCCACCTACACAAACATCAGTAACATTTCCACATACACAAACATCA